GCGGCTAAAACTTTCATAACTTGGTCGAAGGAAACGGAGGCCATAGAATCAATAAACTGTGAGATCTAATCTGTTTTTTTTAGTGTTTAATATATGTTTTGAGTATTGGATGTTCTTCTATGCCTATTTTCATGATTGTTTCATTTAATTACTAGGAGGCCTACTAGTTTATTATTTGTTGCAATCTACTGCTAAGTTAGATTTTAAATCCGTAATTGTTTGATCCCTCTAACTTGTGAGTAATTAAGGTTTAAGAATTTGCTGCATCAGGAATTATTAAATCTTAAGAAGAACATTCAACTAAATTAAATACAACCACTTGTGTTTGTGTTGTTCAGTTTCATTGATTTCTCTAGCTCTTAAGGCTGCTACTAGATTAAACCTTTAGCACTTGTCTAGGGTTGTTTAGTAGTAAGATTAATTAGATCACTTGTTTTCTAATTAATTACAACTAAGGAGAGGTAAGAAAATAGTTCTAACGGTGAATACTTAAAGTATGAATTGATATACTTTTGCATCGATGATCAGTTGTAAAATTCCGATGGTGGATGTTGACTTAGACCAAGGTTTGTTATTTTGATTGATAATTTAATTTGAATTGTTTTTTTTCTTAAAATTGTTTCTGTTTTACTCAACCCCCCACACCCTCCCGCCTTGTTCACGTAACATAAAACTTGGCTAGACACTCTCTGTGGGAATGATCCTTACTCACACTACTACATGTGTTTTTAGGTTTTAATCTTGGTTGCCTATGACATCACACCATCCACTAAGGGGGCCTAGCGATTTAAAGGCTTATTGCATATGCTAAATGCAATTGTAATAACCTATGGAAGTGGTTTAGTTTAGGATAGCTTAGTTACGATTAGATTTTATTTTAGATCATTTTTATTGCTATGGACTAGCAATAAGCTGGTTGGGGGTTGTAATGAGTGTCGAAAATGCATATATATTTAGTGATTTGGTGATTAGATTATAGGGAATTCATGGTTTAATGCATTATTTTGTATGAAATTCCTTACATGTTTCGTTATCTTCCAGAATCATGGGTTTATATGTGTTTTTAGAAATTCAGGTGCAGAATTGATGATTTGTACTTGCACTGATGTTCGGACCATCGAGACTCGTTAGAATGCGAATGAATCAACACATGAAGAAGGAAAATTGGAACTTCAAAGTTGTGCTATGGCATAGATTTACGGCGCCGTGACACAAATCAGCACAATTCAAGTTGTGCCGCAGCATAGATTTATGGCGCTGTAGCACAAATTGGCGAAACCCATTGCGCGCCGCAACGTGGTTCATCGCACCACGGCGCCATTCGAGCATAATGAAAAATATGCAATTTCCAACCCTAATTTACCTTTCCAATTATTATAAAAATGCCCTTACTTGTAAAAAACTATAAAAGGGCAACTTATTTCGTTTTTTAGGTATTCTAAACTTTGTAAACATTTGGGCTAACTTGGAGAAGGGGTTTTTGATAGGCAAGGAATAAAACTTTGATTTTTGTTGTGGATTTATGATCCAAATGCTTATGGGTAAGATTAAGGTTCGTTTTCTTGTAATTATGAGTAGCTAAACCTTTATCTAGTGTATCCAATGTAGCCTAATTTGAATGCTCTATGTTTCTAATCTAAGTTACTTGTTTAATCAATTCAATACAATCTTAGTTTCATTCATTGTTGTTTATTCAATCTTTAATTGATATTATTGCTTGATCATCTTTAATAATTGATTAATTGATTGTGTGAGTCAAGGTTATACTATACGCCCTAGCTAATCTTGAATAGCTGTTGTGAATGAATGGTTTGTGTCTATACATACGCCCTAACAGATATTAATTGGGTTGTGAACTTCGGGTAATTGTAGACTTAATGGGTTTTCAGTAATTAGACTAGACTATACGCCCTAGATAGTTTAGTGATGAAAGCACTAGGTTAATCCCGAACGCCTTATGGTAATGCCTTAATTTGGTGAGTATCGACCCTAGGATGTGAATTGAGAAAGCTATAGTTAGATTATTGGCATAGAGTAGGATAATTACGGTGAAATTGAGTACCTAGACCTTTCTCTATTTGATTCTACATCTTTTTATTACTGTCTTACTTTTAATTGTTAACTTTAGTTATTTTAGAATTATTAGTTAGTTGATTAAGTTTGTTACTTTATTTGGTTGATGCATGCTATTAGATTAATTGATAACTTACAATTCTATGTGGGATTGAACCTTATACTGCGATAGCGATTCGTGCACTTGCGAGGAATAGAATTTTGTTTATCAATCCTTCAATCTCGTTATTCTCATATTTCTTTCAACGTTGAATTTAATTTGTTTCCTTTTAATTAATTGTTTTCATTTTCTGCGTTATCAATCAACCCCAACAGCCCCCCAAATCGGTAAACAATTAGTTATTTTGAAAAATCTTCTGTGAGAAAAACCTTTGCTTGCTTTGTGCTACTAAATGACATTTTAAGATAATTTAAGTAAGGTTTAAATTGGTTATTGCTTTTGCATGCATCAATTTTTGTTACTATTGCCAGAGACTTTTCTTAAATTGACTTTTTATTTACTTTTCGTTATTTTATAATATCTTAGCTTAAGTTTTTTCTGTTTATTTTTCAAGTGTTGTGGTGATTGAGCTCTTCTTTCAATTTCAGGTCAAATCCCCACTTTGTACTGATTCCACCTATCATCCTTTCTCGACAACCTGTAGGTAAGGAAGTTTCAATCAAGCAATCAATATCGATCTTCCATCCACATGCAATTCTTCAAACAATTCAGATTATTCCGATCAAAAGGAAATAGTTAGAAATAATCAAATTTGAACTCTTAAAGAGATGGCTACATGGGCTTTGGACCAACAACCTTTGTACCTCTGATACCATGAAACGAGTGAAGCTTTTGAAATGAAGTCTGGCATGATTCATCTCTTGTTAGAGTGCGTGCCTTAGAGCCAATCAATTATTGTAGAATTGACTCTTTGTAATAATGTTCATTGATTAATAAAAGGCTTTTTATTTTATATCGCGTAAATCATATTGTATGTATTAATATATGTCTTTAGGCTAGTAGAACCGTGACAAGGGTGTCAAGTGTTTCAAATCTTGATTATGAGAACCCTATGATCACGTATGGTGGCCATTCTAGAAATTTCTGTAGCCCTAGTATTATTCTGACTAAGGGCACATATAATACGGTAAGGCTATCATAGTGTTGAACGACCTTGTTGAAAGGTAGTGACTGATCTCACTTATCAAGGTATGTTTGCCGACAACCTGGTACAACACATGGGTGCTTGCTGTAGGCAAGTTCACTAGACTGGCCCACCAGAGGATTCCATATAAATGCTAACTCTAGTGTCTATGGATCAAATCCTCTAACGAATGGTGGTGCATGTAATCATTAACTTGAGATCACCGGAGCGCCTTGTGCATTGATTGGTGTAGTTTGACACTAGCCCAACACAGTTCTATTCAGAGTTATCAATACGATAGTGATTGGTTGCATCGATGAGTGTATCAAGACTATGGTGGATCGACAAAGGATTCATCACTCTCAGGTACGGGAGAACGGGAGAAGTTATCTCACTACGTAATTCAGTAAATGACAATGACACTAAAGCTGTGGCCACAGTAGGATTGAGTTGTTACTCAATCCAATTTATTATTCTGGTCATTGATCTAGTAACTGAATACAAAGATATCGAGAGTAATTGAGGTTGACACTATTTCTGTACCTCAGACTCGATGAGATAACAGATGATGAAAGGATTTGATTGCACGGTAACCATATCGTTGATAGGTAGCTATTTCGCTGAATCCGAATCTATTGGGTGGTCATGATGCCTTACTAGGGGCCAATCTTGGTCTGTGTGTAGTGAGACGATTAATTGGTGTTAATTGCGATACTACTCACTGCCGGTATGATGAGGAGCCTACAGGTCACACACTTAGAAGATAATTTAAGAATCGTTTTGTTCAACAGACATTTTCGTCTTTTAGAACGAAAGGGTATCTTAGTAATCTCACAATGCAATTCAATTTGCTGAGATTGTTGCCTAGATTTAATTTAATATTAAAATTAAATAAGTGAAATTATATTTAAATATATGTACGCATATATTTAAATGAATTATTATTAATTAAATTTTAATATATTTTTATAAATATATTAATTGATTTTAATTATAATAATATTTAATTAAAATAAAATACCAAAAGGAGAGTGTTTGGACACATGGGTTAATTTGGGTTGGAGCCCAATCCTATTCCTAAATGAATTAGGGTTTTGACACATGCACTATATAAGTGCATGTGTATTGAAAGAAACAATTAATTCATTTTGTTCATTCATTGAAAACAGCAACCCTCTCTCTCTACACTCTCACACGTTTTCCCTTGATCTTGAATCAAAGATTTTTCTTTGATTCAAGTTGATTCTTGAAGCCAAAGAGGATCTAGCAAATCCCTCTTTGGTTCTTCAAATTGTCTTTGTATGAATCACCATTCGTTCGGTTCTACGTTGAATCGGTAGCGAAGTAGATTCAGAGACATTTGAAGGAGCCTCCAAACGTGCGTAAGATCTCTAATCCTTGAATGAATTGTTTATATTTTCTATAGAATTTTGATTTAACGTGTTAACTATATAATCTGTACCCTGATTTTGGGCTTTAAAGGAATCAATTTATCCTTTAATTTTTGTTTTTCCGCTGCATTTGGTAGATCAATTCCTAACATCTTTTACCTACTTTCCGAGGTCTAGTGGGAGAGTATTTGAATAAACATCTCAAAGAATTTCATGTGGTGTGCTCTAGCATGAAACCAAGTGGCACTACTAAGGAACAAGTTAAGTTCACAGCCTTTCCATTCTTTTTAGCGGACAACGCTACAACGCTAAAGAGTGGTTGTATTATCTACCATCTCGGACCATTGACAATTGGAATGACATGAAAATACTCTTTTTGGAGAAATATTTTCCAACTTCTAGAATTATTCTCATTCAGAAGGAGATTTGTGGTATGTGGCAGTACAGTGAGGAAAGTTTGTATGAGTATTGGGAGCAGTTCAAGAAACTTTATGCTAGTTGCCCTCATCATCGAATAAGTGTGCAATTCTTACTCTAATACTTTTACGAAGGGTTGATGCCTATGGAAAGAAGCATGATCGATGTAACAAGTGGTAGTGCTTTGGTTGACAAAACTCTTTAGAATATAAGAAATTTGATTGCAACTATGGCTATAGATGCTCAACAGTTTGGCTCCCAATCTGATCCATCACTAAAGAGGGTCAATGAAATGGATACATCCACTAATATTGAGTAGCAGTTGAGCACCTTGATTCCACTTGTGCATGTTGGTGGGACAAGTTAAAACATGCAGAATTTGCTCTAACATTGGTCATCCTATTGACATGTGCCCTACTCTTCAAGATCCTAATGTGGAGCAAGCAAACACTTTGGGAGGATTTCAAGGACAACAAAGGCAAAGGTATCTCCAACACTTACAATCCAGGGTGGAGGAACCACCCTGCTATTCGGGAAACCACTAAGCTACTACCCCTACTAATCCACCAAGTTTTTCTTATCCAAGAGCACAACCACCTTATCAAGTGAGGCCACAAAATGCTCCCCCACCTCAAGGCAAGTCTCTAGAAGAATTAATAAATTCTTTAGCCACCAACACTATCCAATTCCAACAAGTTAGAAGACATCGATCAAGGACCTTGAAAACCAAGTTAGTCTATTGGCCACTACCGTTGGAAGACTAGAGGCACAAGGATCCATAAAACTTCATTCTCAAACTGCGGTCAAACCTATGGAGAATTCTAGTGCTATATCATTGTCGGAAGCAACTTGAAGAAGCTCACAAGAACCTGATTAATAATGAAGAGGCCAAGGATGAGCCGATTCAAGATGGAGCAAGCAAGTCCAATAATAAGGGAGATAGGGCGCTTGACTTCAAAAAAGCAAAACAGCCACTTAAGGTAGAATCTACAGTTCCAATTTCTATTTATGAACCTCTTCTACCTTTTCCTAGCAGGTTTGCAAAATAGAAGAAGGAGGACCACGAACAAGAAATCTTGGATACCTTCCGGAAAGTGCAAGTCAACGTACTGTTGTTGGATGCCATCAAATAAGTACCACACTATGCAAAGCTCCTCAAGGAATTACGTGCCAAAAAATGAAAGCTCAAGGGAAACGAGGTGGTAAGCGTAGGAGAGAATGTGTTGGCGGTCTTGCAAAGGAAGCTTCCACCAAAGTACAAGGATCCGAGTAGTTTTACCATACCATGCATTATAGGTAACACTAAATTTGAAAAGGCTATGTTAGATTTAGGCACTTTAATTAATGTTATACCTTATTCTATTTATGTTGCTATAAATATTGTCTCTCTTAAAGAAACCGACATAGTTATTCAACTAGCCAGTCGTTCTAACTCCTATCCAAAGAGAGTTTTGGAAGATGTTTTGGTGCAGGTTAATGAGCTCATCTTCTTGGTTGCTTTTTATGTGCTTGACATGCAAGATTACTCTACTACTAGGTCCACACCCTTGCTTTTGGGTAGACCTTTCATGAAAATAGCCTAGACAAAGATAGATGTGCATAATGGAACTTTGACAATGGAATTCGATGGAGAGGTTATTTGCTCAATATCTTTGAAACGATGAGGTACCCTAGTGATTATCATTCTTTTTTTTTTCTATTGACATACTTGACTCTTTAGCGTAGCAAATGTTTGAGCTTAAGAGTAAAGATTTGTTGGATGCTACAATAAGAAGTGGTTTGGTAATCAAAGACCCTAAAAATTCTAAAGAGGGTGTTGACATGATAGAGGAAATGGAAGAGATTGTTGCATCACTTGACTCTTTTCCAAAAATAAACCCAAGGTAAAATCTTCCTTACATTTCTCTTCCCTTATTTAATGAGAAACTTCTACCTTCCATTATGTAGGTCCCTACTTTGGAACTTAAACCTCTTTTGAAACACCTTAAATACGTGTATTTAGGAGAAGAAGATACGCTGCCCGTGATAATAGCAATCAACCTTTCTGCTATTCAAGAAGATAAACTAGTTTGGGTATTGAGAGAGTATAAGATGATGATTGAATGGACAATTGCTGACATTAAAGGAATTAATCCTTCCATGTGCATGCACTAGATATTACTTGAGGAAGGATCGAAACTGACAAAAGAGACACAAAGGAGATTGAATCCACCAATGATGGAAATGCTGAAGAAGGAAATCATCAAGCTATTGGATGTCAGTGTAATCTATCCAATATCAGATAGCAAATGGGTTAGTTCGGTCCAAGTGGTTTCAAAGAAGTCCAGAGTTACTGTGGTGAAGAACGAGGATAATGATTTAGTTCCTACGCAGATTCAAACGGAGTGGTGAGTTTGCATTTACTACCAAAAGGTTAAATCTGTAACTGGCAAAGACCATTTTCCTTTACCATTTATTGATCAAATGCTTGAGCAATTAGCGGGCCATACTCACTATTTTTTTCTTGATGGTTTTTCGTGTTATAATCAAATTGTGATTACTTTGGGAGACCAAGAGAAGACAACTTTTACTTGCCCCTTCAAAACCTTTGCCTATCGACGCATGTCATTCGGTCTTTGTAATGGTCCCGCCACCTTTCAAAGGTGTATGGTAAGTATATTTTCCGATTATATAGAGAGCATTATGGAAGTGCCTATGGATGACTTTAGTGTACACGGGGACTCATTTGACAATTGTCTTAGCAAGCTTACAGTTAGGGTTGGGATAATCCGGTTAACCTAACCGGATTAGGAAAACCAAAAACCTAAAATCGGATCGGTTTCGATTATAAACCAGTTGTAAACCGAACCGAATATTCAGTTTGGTTAACCGGTTTTCAAATTAACTTCTAAAATTCTTCAATTTTTCATTTAAGTCCCTAAATTCAAATATTTATTATTTTATATATAATTTCATACTATTTTTCTCTTTTATTTTGGTATTATTTTTGTATTCTTTGTATGAAAAATATATTAAATTACTTATTTGCAATTACGTATTACTCAAAAGTCAATACTCATTAATAAACTCAAATACATAACATACATTAAATTACAATATGAAATAAAAACATAAAGAATTCAATTACACATTACTCAATAGTCAATACTCATTAATAAACTCAAATACATAACATAAATTTAATTTGGCAATGTTAAACTAAACATAACATAAAATTACAAATTATGCAATGTTTAGTTTAACAAACCAGATGTCGCATTTTTAAGTTGCTCCAATGTGAATTCACGGAATACAGGCAAGCAGTCAGCCTCACTCTTCTCATCATTTTCTGCAGCAGCAAGACATTATTACAATTAACAACCATCAAACCCATATTTCTTGGAGAAGACAATAACCGATGCCAGAAATTTACTTTTACCCACCAACATCAGGAGCTTCAAGAACTGATGCTTTGAATTGTGAGTTCCAGCAACACACTGTGAGTTTAGAACACTGAACCCCCATCTCAATATCACAAATCAAAGCATAAAATGATAGAAACCTTTTCACTGATTTGCCCCTCTAAACAACACCAGCATCAATTGCACGCCCAATTCATTCATCCAAAGTAATATAATTTGCTGGCAGAATGATTAGCTGCAGCCAAATTGAAATCTCATTAGTACTGATAAGAATCCCAGTCATCCACTAAATTTCCTCCACCATAGAACATTGGATCAAATATAGACATCTTACTGAGTTAAAAACACAATCAAAATAATCTAATTAATTTCTAGCGCAAATTTGAATAAGATCAAGCCTAACAGCTAGCAAGTCTTATTGAATTGCTAATTATCAAATAAAATAGCTTTTCAAGAAATATAAAAAATAAAACAAAAATTAACATTTTGAGTAAATTTTTCCAGAAATGGGTTATTCATCTTCTGCAATGAAGTACTAACTAAATCAGAACTTTACTTACCTAATCTTAAATGCATATAGAAAAAACTCAACCACTTTGCTTTAATTAAACCAAAATTAGTTAATAAAACAAAACACAAGCAATAAAACCTACCTGAAAAAGTGCAGCTCCTTTTAGGGTCTGCTTGGGAGTTTTTTTTTCACTGGTTTTGGGGGATTTTTAATTAGACTGGTTTTGAGGTGTTTAAAAACCATTACTTGCCAATTTTTTTATTGACTGGTTTTGACTAGTTTAAAAACCCCCCAAATCAGTGTAGTGTGTTTTTGAGGGGTTTATAAAACACCCCAAATCATGGTGTTTTGGCTGGTTTAAAAATTTTATCCCAAAAAACCCATTTCCACTGCTAAAAAAAAAGTCACAGAATAGAGGAGCCAGACATTTCTACTTTTACAAAAGCTAGATCTACCCTTGTTGCTACTACAAAGTAGATATTTTTGTCAAGTTTGGACATGTTCCATACATATTCAAGAGGGGATCCCAGGACCTAGATTGTACATTTATGTGCATGTCCAAATACATTTTTAGGAGTTACTCTTTTCTGTCTGCATGTTTTGCTCCTTGGCAAAAATTGGTGCTCGAAAAGCTATGCTCTACTTTTTATTTTCATGCCACTCTTTTTCATCATGCTAAATTACTCCCAAAGGTGCATGATCTGGAATATTAATACCTGTTAAATCTTCAATGTTTCTTTAATTGGTTGTTTTTGAAAATTAGAGTGCATGGATGCTTCAATTTTGGTTCCTTATATTCAAACTATTTATTTTTCTGAACAGTTCTCTTTCAAAGTTTGTTGTTCTTGGATAAGAATTGGGTTATTCAATGGAAAACCCAAACTCATTGGTAATGTGGGAAGCTCAATTTGTCTTCTTTTGCATATATTTTCAGCAAATCTAGCTATTGAGTGGAAGTCAAATTACCAAGTATGCTAATAGTGCCAGCATAACGAATGTCATCAACTAAATTACATATTTTAGTGAGAACATACAAATAAATTAAATAATATACACTGAAAGAACTTACAAACAAATTAAACTTGGAAGGAACTTTGATACTAAGTATTGGTAATTGAAAAAAAAAACTTCCAAGTACTGGTTGAAGTTGGGGTATTTTTATGGGCATATATGTAAATTTATCATTT